ATGTCCAGATTTTTTTTCTTACTTCAAAAAAGGAAAGGGAAAAAATAAGATTTTTCTGCTTCAGTGCTGATGTTTTTACAGGGGTCTTTTCAGCAAGAAAAACAGTACCCATAACAATCTGAGCTTCCTGTCTCATGCATCTACAAGGCCATGAGAATATACAATGTGTGACCAAATGCACCAAAAGAACAAACTGAAAAATAGGGGAAAATGGTATTATTTAGTGAACTTATTTCAGTAGCTAGCAACAATGATAGGCAAAGTAAAATGTAATAATTTTGTAATATCCTAGTAAATATATTATTTTTTCAAGTTCATGGTATAATTTAACCCATCAGGTTTCTTTTATGGGCCTCTGGCTTGGTAATTTGGCTGGCACAATACTGGTATAGCTTCTTCCCAAGAGGTACTTCAATGAGCCTGACCTTGGAGGCTGCTGGGAAAGATACAGTTTTTTTGTATCTGATCTTGTGCAAGAGCGACTGGGCTGTGGGTGGCCTATGTGCACCAGTATGCTACTAAATTGCAGTTAGGAGATGAGTAGCAGTGTGGGGTCAACTTAGGTCAGGATACCAGGAAGTTCAGTGTCAGGCACCACCTTCTAGACAGCAAGCAAATAATGGAGTTTGGAGCAAACTGGGGTCAGAAGCCAGAGTCTAGGATGTATAGCAAAGAAAGCTGTGGAGCAGAAGCAAGCATGCAGACAGCTCCCTATGATGGCTTCCCAATTTATATACCAGCATAACCCACCTGGTGGTCTGTGAGCAGCCATCACTCAGGTTATAAAGAGTGGTACTTCCAGAGGAGCCCTGGACTAGTACATCCCAGGTTCTAGTCCTGCTGGTTCTTACACCAGGTCACAAATTGTGGTTAACTATATCTATCTGATATGCAAGCCACAGCGAGGGATTACTTTGAAAGCTGCTGGAGATTGGTGTAGAAGAAGATGCTGGTATGTAAAGGGAGCCTCTGAAGGTGTGCCTACATAGCCCAGGGCAGCAAGTCTCTCAGCCCAAGTCAAGAGACTCAGGCTTGCAGGGCTCCTGCTAAAACTCTAAAATAGCGAGGCAGACAGTGTGTGGATTGGAGCTCAAGCTTAATAGGCATCAGAGCCTGAGCTCCAGCCCAAACTGCAACTTCAAAGTACAGTCTACGGATGTGTTCTTAGAGAGCTAGTATGAGCCATTTGTGCCTGACTGAGGCTTTCCGCCTCAGCAGTGTCAAGCAGGCCTGAACAATTTGGCAGGTAGTGACTGTTGGTTTTGTTGATTGTCTTCTACAAATTAGGGCTAACCAGTGATTTGGCCTCATGCTTAAAGGGGGAAAGAGGTAATAGTCAGGACCCAAACTGTATAGGGCTTTCTAGATAAATATCAACACCGTAAATTGCAAAAAGGACAACACATGAAGAGCATGTGATATGTGACAAACATTGATTACCATGACTAAATAGTTCATCATTTTCTGCACTACATGAAGCTCGTGAGTCGTTTTCTACTGTAGTCTTAAGCACGTTTGCTCAAATACTTAACCCCAAAGGGTGAGAGGTTCATGGAAACATCTGGTATGTCTGCGAGAAAGGACACATGAAGCTGTTGTGCCTGGAAAAAATGCATTAAGCCTGTGTTTCTACCTATGATTCCAAAAGCATTATGAAGTCTACAATTTCCCTTAATTCAAACAATAGAATTGGTTTTAGGCAGAATGTTCTTGGTGTCAGGTTCTTGACTCTGGAATTTATTTCTGTTGTCTGGTTTCCACAACTTCGGTTGAAGTGTAAGGCCCATCTGCTTTCTCAATCTGGTTGTAAATGTTGCTGTCTATAGCAACAGTCTGGATAAGCAGTTAGAAATGCTGTTTGTGTGGTTTTGGTCCAATATAGAATTCTATTGGTGGAATGGTTAGAGCCTGCCTATGACTGATTGATATATAGTACATATGTTTTCATGCTATCAGAGCATAATATATGCTAATAATAGGCACAGTCTGTATCTTGATGAATGATCCATGCTTTCCCTGACAATGACATTCTGGCAACACCAGTTTCCACACCTGAAAAACAAGGAAGGGGAGTATCATAGACTGAGCCCTGGTAACTACAGGTCTAGGTGCCTCTGTAAAGACAAAGTTAGCAGTAGCAGTACAATGAAAGTGTTATCTTGCACTCATGGAGAATGCTGGTTAATTGAATGTGCCAAATACTTGAGCTCAGGCAGACTGCAGGAGAGAGGAGGCACCTACTGATGACATCAGCCAACAGTGCCTCAATGCCGGTTAACAGAGTTTTCTGGTTAACCCAAAGCTTTCATTTGTACCCACTTGCAGTAGGAAGTAATGTCCACAGCTGTAGAGCCAGAAATATTTACCAACTTACAAAAAAGAGCGTTAACATATTTCAGTTATTGTTCCTGACTTGTTTGTTGTTGCTCTGCTGTGTGATTTTTCTTCAGTATCATAAAAATTGTATTAAATTTGTTATTAACTATAATTCCTTAAGTACATCCTCATGAAAATATTGAGAACAAAAAACAACAATTTTTTTTCATTCCTTTCTGTTGAAGTGCTATACATTTGTCTTTTATGAGGGTGTGAAAAAGTGCATATAGATTCTGATTTCATAATTTCTGCTGTGCCTCTACTTGAATTTTCTGATAGTGATATGACACTAAACTATTTTGAGATATTTTACTTGAGGGGGAAAGAGAGAAGAGCTCTTTTCTTCTTTTTGTGCACCTTTCATCAGTTCTCACATGATATTGACCTGACATTCTGTTCAGTGGAGAATGTCTTATTATCCTGTTTTGTGTATTGAGTACCTTTATGAGGAAGTCATGGTCCCTGCCCCAAGTAGTTTACTAGCTAATTAAAAAACAGGCAATACATTTTAAATCTGTGCAATTCATAGAATCCTGGAATTAGGGATGTTAAATATTGGCTAATTGAATAGTTGATTAATCTCATGAATTCTTATCTGTTACTCAACTATTCTATAGTCCCCGTGCATGGTACGGGCAGCTGGTGTGCTCTGGCCCCACTTCCAAGGAGCTCCCTGCCACTCCACACTGCTGCCTCTATATCAGAGGAAGCAGTGTGGGGTGCCAGGCAGGAGCTGGTTCGCAAGAGGAAACAGTTTAAAAAACAGCTTCCTTCACGCACCGGCTGCCTGTCACCCCACACTGCTGCCTCTGAATCAGAGGCAGCAGCGTGGAGTGGCAGCAGCCCCTGTCCGAGGGGGGGGGGTCTGAGCTCTCGGACACAGTGTGAGCCAGAACTGATCCAGGCTGCCTGCCCGCCTGGCTCCTAATACACTTCAAATGCAAAGCCGCAACGGGGTAGGTCTGGCAAGGAGTGGGGGGGAAATGCATGTTGTCTATAGCATTAACCTATAAGCTTTCACTTATCATTTAATTTACTGGACTATTACATCCCTACATGGAATACTAGAAATGGAAGGAATCTTGTGAGGTCATCAAGTTCAGTCCCCTGCCCTCCTGACAAGATCAAGCACCCAGATCATCCCTGACAGATGCCTATCTAAGTTGCTCCTCAGTATCTCTAGTTATAAAGATTCCACAACCTCCCTAGGCAGTTTATTCCAGTGTTAACCACCCTGACAGTTGGGAAGTTTTTCCTAATGTCCAACCTAAACCTCCCTTGCTGCAGTTTAAATCCAATTTAATTCCATTCCCAGAGGTCATCAGTGCTGTTCCACCTTTTTAACTACATATTTATGGCCATCAACAGGTCTCAGTCTCAAAGCTGAGAAACGGTGATAATATTACTAAGCCAATTCTATGTGGAAAAATAATCTTAACTAATACGAAGGGATTTTGAACATTTCCAATAAATATAATTGGCATGTTTTAACTTCTTGCATCTTTCTCTGAAAGGGTCATAATTTAAAAAATGATGGCCAGATATGGCGTAGCCCTTGTCTAAGGATTCATGGGTCAGATCTCGGTCCGCACATCAGTGGTACAAAGCTCCAGAAAGCCAAGGGGTCCAGCTCCAGGAGGAGTTTGTCTATAAAGGGAACTCTCTCTGATGGTAGAGGACCACAGTAGCAGCTCCAACACTCCCCATAGTTCAAATCCCAGTGTAAGAGGCACAGTGCATAAAATGTGGGTGTGGGTGGCCTGGCTGCTAGAATGGCCCGGGGTTAGTGACCCGCTGGCAAAATGTAGAGCAGCCTTGAAGTTATGCTACTTGTATAGCAGGGACTGGATAGGCATCCAGTTATTGGGCGCTGTTCCGAAGCAGACCAGCATGGGGATTTATATCTTAAATCTATAGATATTCAGTTAATTTTTTTTCTTCCGTTAACATGGAATTCATAATCTATGCTAGTGTCATCAGTCAGCCAGGAGTTTTGAATCTACAGAATCAAGTACTTAGTGATCAGATACAAGTGTAATCTCCAGAAAGTGCTTGGAATTAAGGCCAAATCTGAGAAGCTTTGTACTTTTCATGTCATTTTTCTCCTTTAGCTTTTCTGTTATGAAAAGCCACATGAAATCAGCAAGCAGTCTTAAAACTCAGTCTTTGAAGGTATTATACAATTGCAGAACTCTGTACTTGTGTATGTGTCTGTGTGACAGTATCTGGCATTTATTTGGTTTGAAAAATACAAGTCAGCTTTGGCATCTGATCCTACAGTAAATCAGTATTTACTAGGTAAATTGTTTAGTTGTTTAATAGTGCTACTCCAAATCTGTTTCTCAATTGAAAATTGATGAGATGCACTGCAAAGCTGATGGGATATAGACATTTGACAAAGTAGACAAGGAAATATAAAAGAAATTATGGTTTTACTCATTATTCATGAATATAAATGACAAATTTCAATTAGGATACTTACAGAATCATTCTCAATATATGTTATGATTTTCAAAGTATGTCTTTTGCTGAATGTGGTTTGGTTTATTTTATTTTCCTATAAAATTGTTGACAAAAAATCTCTGAATCCATTTTTGTTGTTGCTTTTGTTTCCTTCTTTTCAGGACTATGATTTAAGCCAGCTTCAGCAACCCGATACCATAGAACCAGATGCCATTAAACCTGTGGGGATCAGACGGCTTGATGAAAGACCAATCCATGCAGAACCTCAGTACCCAGTCAGATCAGCTGCTCCTCATCCTGGGGATATTGGGGACTTCATTAATGAGGTAAAGGAGAAAAAACACTTTTCCTTGCAGGATGGGATAGGCTTTTATATGTTGCTAATTGCACTCTGCATGAATAGCTGTTTCATTTGGAACATGATAACTTTTTAAAACTTGCTTATACAATTAAAATGACCTTGGTAGATAGAAATAAATATGGCCTTTTAAAGAGAAGACAAATTTAATTAACTCATTCAAATAGAAAGGGAAGATATGTCAATTAACTTTTGTACATTTGTATTAATTGCATTCATACTATGTTATCAGCCTTAACCACAATATCTCCAAGAGGGATTATACCGTGGATTCCAAGTAATAAATAGACTAACAAAATTATAATTTAGCCTAAATTCATTTATTAATGCAGATTAATTTAATAATGGAAGAAGTTCATTTTGATTTTCCTCACACATTTACCATTTGAATCCAGATAATGGTGAAAATTCAAATTCCTTCAAAAAGACCAAAGAGTTCCAGCAAACAAGATTAGTGAGTAGGGCAGCTAAATTAAACGTTATGTAAGTGCTTTAAGTACTTTCTTTGTCAAAGAATTTTTAAGAGGCTCTGTGCCTCTTTGATTCTTGCAGCAGTAACTAAAATGTGACCAACGGTGAATGAAGATTCAGAATTAATTTTAAAAGATATTTTCAGTTATGAAAGAAATATTTCCCTATAAACGTTTCTTATTATTATTTTTTTAATCATTGACTAAATGTTTTAGTATGTTTGTCATTTGTTTTATGGAACTTGAAATGTTACACATTTCAGTGTGTTCTTTACGCTTATTTCTTTGGGCAGAAGAAATTTTAAAGAATCATTTGCCTTTCACAAATCTTGGTTATCTGAATAAACAGTTTAAAGTGACGTGATTGAAATAAAGAAAGTTTTGCAAAAATGCATTTGTGTATATTTGAATTTGTAACCAAAACCAGATGTGGTGTGTTCACATCTCTTTTGTGTTTGCTAGAATATTTGTTGCCCTTTTCTGTATTTTTTTTCAATTCTAATGTATCTTTATTGACACAGAAAGATTAGAACTGCACACACTACTTAAGATGTGGGTTTTTCATGGATTTATATACTGGCATTAGGATACTTTCTGTTTTATTATCTATGACTTTCCTAATGGTTCCTAATTTTCAGTTTGCTTTTTTGACTGCTGTTGCTCATTGAGCAGATGTTTTCAGAGAACTATCCACGTAACTCCCAAGATCTTTCTCTTGACTCGTAACAGCTAAACTAAATAGTTCAGATAATCAAACATCTTTGTCCAAAGCTGAAGGACATTCTAACAAGTACCCTCTCCCAACTATGGGTATTTGCTATGGGCTTGAGATTATTTAGTCCAAGTAATCATGGACAGTATCTTCCTGTCACAAGAAAAATTTGCTAAGATCAAACCACATCATTGTTTACTCAGCAATGGTGATAATTAGCCATTCTCTCCAGCTGCAATGATTCCTGGTACAAGCCAATATCACTATCTTCTGTCAGAGATTCTACACATAGTATCTCTAGATATTTTTTTTCCTGCCACGTGTGGTGTTGCTCCTGGCTATGTTAGGATGTCTCTGCCATACGTTTAAATTCAGGCAACTTGCTGATGGCTAAACCAGTATTCACTCTAGAACCATCTTTGAATTCCACAAAGAAGAAGCATAGTATACCTAATATGGAGAGTGAGGGATATTACTAGTAGAAAAGAAATAAGGTGAACATTTCTGTTTTGAGGACATGCAACAGAAAATGGAGTCTAACTGTTCCCCTTTCTCTGCCAGTACAGAATTTTTCCCTGTGCTGTATTCTCTCATGTTAGTAATCAATTGATTACTCAAGTAATATTCAAGGAAATCTTCCTAATATGATGGGGAATATGAAACTGAATATGCTGTACTGTCCTAATGACTTGCCAGTTGAAAACAACTGTTAAAATATGCTGTTAAAACAGTCAAGCATTTTGAAAATATTTATACAGTTATGCTTAATAGATAAACATTTTCCAAAGACGAATGAATTCCAGTTGTGAGTTAGTTATAATGTAATATGGTTTGCAGGCATAAACAAAAATTACCAAAGGGACTTGCTTGCTTTGTCTGTTTCAGTGGATAGATGAGTTTCTAATTTTAAGCAAAATACTCCTTTTTTTCCAGTCCAGTTTATTCAAGTGGGTAAGACAAGTCATGTGTTACTAGGAATCCTCTGTAGACATTCTGCATTCTTTTTTTAGTTTTAAAAAGTGGAACATTATTAACACTTAGAATACTTGAGGATTTGCAAAGCATGCAAATTAAGGATACATTGCAGTAGCACTATTCAGTCTAATGGTTTATCTTTCAAGAGTCAACTGTCCCTGAACAGAGATCTTAAACAAATTGTACTGTGGCAGAGAGCTTGAGGCTAAAGATCTATTTCTAATCAATACAGAACATAGCCTGAGGTAAATTAAATTTAAATTACAAACTAAAGGCCCTGTTCTATGAGATGCAGAGAACCCTTCACTCACTTGGAAGTAAAATTGCTGTTGATGGCATTAAGCTCTTTGCAAAATGGTGCCCTTCAATATGCTCACTCTTCAAAAGCCAACTCTTAGATCGTTACAATCATTCATATAACCCCATAGGCTTCACTTCCTTATCCCCCATGCCGCATCCCAATACCACCAAACATCTTTCGTATGTGAGAAGAACTAGACTTTATGAAAATATAAGCACAAAAACATTGATTCGTTCTCTAATGTTCCCCATTCCTGTTCAGGATTTAGTTAAAAGGAGAGTATTATATGTGCTTAATTTATATAAACATAAGGTTGCTAAACCTTTTTGGTTAACTCCGGGTATAATTTTCCCTTCTTCGTGTCTCCTCTATTAATAGCAGGGCCTGAGGCATAGACCAAAAGAGGGAAAGGTTGCAGCCAAGTCTGAATAGAGTTTACAACTCCACTGAGGCAGCATGTCCATCTGACAAATGCCCTGTGGTTCTTCAAATGGGAATGCCCAGCCCAAATGACTTTCACTGGCTCTGTTAGACAGGGATTTCTCTAGTAATGAACACATCCGATGGCGGCAGGGAGAGCCAGCTAGTCATAGAAATATCACCAGACAATAGAAGTATACGGCATATTGGGTTAATGTGGCGATTGTGTTTCAGCAACAGGAAGCTGAAATTGTCTCCTTTTAAACTTCCTCCACAACATTTAGTTAATATTTTGCCAAGAATACATTGAGGAAAATTTTAATTGCCTTCCCCAAAGTTACTGTATTTAAATTTGGAGCATTAGATGATAAAATAGAGGGATTTTTAACCTTGCTGTAAGTGCAAATGTCATCTTACGTTTGGTCATGTTGATCTCTCCATAATGCTGCCTCTTGGTGCCTTTTCTTAGGGAAACAGTTTTCACATTAAGTATGCCTCTGGAACAATGAATTGTTCATTGCCATTTTGCCCTGTAAACTCAGCCTCCGTTTTATTTCATCCACTGCTGGCAGGGGATATCCAAGTATAAAATTGAAAGTAATAAGAGATTGTTCAGTCCGTAAGCCAAGTTTTATGCTGTTAATGCCTGGTGCCTGGCAGAATTTCTACAGTTGCATGGGGGAGCTATTTTTATTTACCAATACCTGCTCAGCTCGTATCCCAGAGTCAGACTCACAAGCCCATCTTGTGAGTGGCACAACTGTGGAAACTGTAGGAATGTCTCCAGAATTTCTGCTCCAGGCCAGCACTGTGTATGGCTTTTATGAGAGACCCCTGATACTTTCCATGTAACCTTCTCAGCTGAAGCAACACTTCTCTTCCTTCCCAGTCACCTACATCCAAAAGGCGGAGAGTCTGTAGCCCTGAGCAAGCTTAAGGGACTGGCTGAAAATAAGAATATTCAACAGTGTAGACCTAGCTATATATAACTCAGTAAGTAAAATCATATTTCTGTTTCAAGAGCATAAATGAACAGAAAAGACTAGAGCTTTGAAGTTGGACCAGATAAGACATTGCATTCCAGCTACAGACATTTAAGATGATGGACTCATTTGTCCTTATTATAGCTCTCAGGATGGAAAACTCAGAAAAGAAATATAACAATTATCCTGGTTAAATAATTCGAAAAGATGACTGTAATGCCGGCTACTAATTACCAGCTCAGTGACGTTGTCCTACCCGAAACATTTATTTAAATTAAAGAAATGTTCTTGGCTGAGGTTATTAGTATCATAACTATCCAAAGACTAAATACCTTGGGCTGGGTTCTCTGTTGCCTTATATATTCATATACACCCATGCAAAGTAAGCATAACATGCTATTAAATCACTTTGGTAGCATTTTACACTCATTTTGCATATTTGTGAATGGTTACACAAAGCAGAAGAGAATGAGGTGCATAGTTTTACTGGTGTTTCCCTCTTAGGCATACATGATATCTGGCCCAATTGATTGGATTAGCTATGCCAGGGTGTTATTTAGAAAAGTCAGTGTCCATACAATAGGCCATTATGTCACATGATTATACCTACAACATCCCATGTCAAACCATTCTGAAGGAATTTTACTGAAAAGAGATAATAATCTCCAAGGAAATACTCAATCTTGCAGATAATCTGTTTTGTCAGGAAGCTGTTGTGAGAGAAATTTTAGTGCTAATGTAAGAAAGGCAGGCTTGACAGGACCCTCAGTCTTCTCTTCATTAAGCTTTCTAGTGTTTTGGCTGACAATTTATCTGTGGACAATGTCTACCAAAGTAGATCCTTAAGCTGAAGGCCTTGAAAAAATACTTCACATCCACTGGAAGAAATTGCAGGCTTGCAGGTTAACCAAAGACCTGCTGTCTTCAGTGATTAGACTGGGACCATGTGAGATCAGTGTTGTAGCTGATCTATGCAAGCATACTTGTCTGTCCTAACCTTTCCTTTCTTTACCCCTCTTTACCTCCAGACTCCAGTGGTTTGTGGTTTGTTAATGTATCACAAACATTGATATTTTAGTTCATCTTTGAATCATGGTCTCTATTGTATATCTGAGATTGTGAGTTCTCTGGCTTAGGGGGTGTCTTATATTTGTTTATACAGCTCCTAACCCTAATTTGGCTGCTACTGCAGTAGAAATCACAGTAATAACGATGTTTTCTAAAGATGCATAACCACATGACCAGAAGAAACAGAAAACTCAATGTATTTATATTCTTGAAGTTTCAAAGATATGAATGCTGTTTCAGTGGTTGAAATCTGAGGAAATGTATGAGAGCAAGAATCTGGTTTTCTCAGCCTGCAGAGGATGTGATAGAATTGATGTATTCTTATTACACTTTGGCTTCCTGTATCACATATAGAATTTTGTCTTTTTTCTTTTCTCCTTATTTCAGGGACTTAAAGCAGCTGACAATGACCCTACGGCCCCACCATATGACTCCCTCCTAGTCTTTGACTATGAAGGCAGTGGCTCTACTGCTGGATCTTTGAGCTCTCTTAACTCCTCAAGTAGTGGTGGTGAGCAAGACTATGACTACCTAAATGACTGGGGCCCACGTTTCAAGAAACTTGCTGATATGTATGGTGGAGGTGATGACTGAACTTCAAAGTGAACTTTGTTTTTTGGACAAGTACAAACATTTCAACTGATATTCCCAAAAAGCATACAGAAGCTAGGCTTTAACTTTGTAGTCTACTAGCACAAGTGCTTGCTGAAGGCTTTGGCATAGGCTGCAAACCAATTTGGGCTCAGTGGGAATATCAGTAATCCAATGCTGTTTGGAAAAAAAAATATTGAGCTCAGTTACACTTGAATTTTACAGTACAGAAGCACTGGGATTTTATGTGCCTTTTTGTACCTTTTACAGATCGGAATTAGTTTTATGTTTAAGGCTTTAATGGTACTGATTTCTGAAATGATGCATTAAAGAGACAAACTATGTCGGGGCAGGGAGGAGTTAAGTTAAATCACAGTATGCTTCAACATGCTTTTGTTACATTGCATTGCTTTTATTAATAAGGAAATTTAAAAAAACAAACAAAAAAACCCTCATGGAGCCATTTTATTATCTGGGGGAGAAGACCATGAGATTGAAAAATGTACATTACTTCTAGTTTTAGATGTTAGAGTTTTTTTCACTAAAATTCTAAAACTTATGCAGCTGGTTGCAAATAAAGGGAGTTTTCATATCACCAGTTTGTAGCAGAATTGATTTTTTTTCTTATGGTAGAATGTTAGGCACATTTTGGTCTTAATCCATGTACACTTTTTTTTTTAAATTCTGGTACTGTTTTTTCCCACTTCACTGTAAAAAATGGTATGTGTACATAATGTTTTATTGGCATAGTCTATTGGGAAGTACAGAAACTTCAGAACATGTGTATGTATTATTTGGACTATGGATTCAGGTTTTTGCATGTTTATATCTTTCGTTATGGATAAAGTATTTACAAAACAGGTTGCAAACAAGTGGCATTGATTCAATTGTTGAACTGTAGCTAGAGTACTCAATTTTATTTTTTATTTTTTATTTTAAATTTTGGTTTGGGGAGGGGAGAAAAGTTCTTAGCACAAACGTTTTACATAATTTGTACCAAAAAGAAGACAGGGGTGGCCTGATGCTGATGGTACTAGGAACAGTATGTTGGGAAAAGGAGCTTTTGAACTGGAGAGACTTCTGACAACAGCTTTGCCTCTGTATTGTGTACCAGAATATAAATGATACACCTCTGACCCCAATGTTCTGAATAAAATGCTAATTTTGGATCTGGTGGCTGGTTTGAACTTCTTTTGTACTTGAGCAACTGTGATTGTAGCAAAAAAGAAAAATATATATAGAAGTTTAAATTGCGAAAGGTGTGCACCGTTTTTCATCACTCGGTATACAATGAGCTGTGAATTAATTATATGTAGGCTAGAAGAAAGTCTGAAGTTTGTTAATGGAAGCAATGTACCAAAATGAAATGGGAAAAGCCAAAGGCGTTAACTATTAAGGCAAAACCTCCAGAACTCTTGTTTTAAGTGGATGGATGGCTCTTCAGTTTTAACATACATTTTTTTAATAAAACCTAATTATCATGCTTTTTGAAAAAACGAGTCCTGTGGCACCTTAGAGACTAACAGATTTCTTAGGGCATAAGGTTTCATGGGTAAAACCCACTTCATCAGATGAATTGGAGTGGAGTTTACAGAGGCATGGGTGTATCTATAAGGAGAACAAAAGAAAGGCGTTACTTGTGTAAATAAGTATTAAATAAATAAGTTGTTACCTTCCTTAACTGGGACTCTTTGGTCCAGCAACATCCGTGGTCCAGCAGGACTGCGGATGTTCCTGGTCCACAGCGCCCAGATATAGGGAGGTTTGGCTGCAGGGCAGGAGCACAGCAGGGGGAGCTCCGTGGGAGGGGCAAGGCATGGGTGGCGCAGCGGGGAGCTCCAGCCCCAACGGCCAGGCAGTAACAGGGAGCCAGCTCTAGCTGAGGAGCTACAGGAACCAGGGAGCTCCGACCCTGACCACAGAGCGCCAGTCTTGGTGGCAACAGCAGCCAGGAAGCTCCAGCCTGGAGACCCACAGCCACGCAGGTAGCAGCAGGGCTAGGCTGGAACCCTGACTGGGGGAGGAGGCAGTGGGACTGAGCACTGGCCACGAGTGGAAGGACCGCCCCTTCTGGCAATTCCCCTCTATTTCAGGACCAGTCAGGTCCAAAGGGAGCCAGACAAGGGAGGTCCAACCTGTGCCCTCTTTCTTTTGTTGTCTTTAGTCTGTAAGGTGCCACAGGACTCCTCATTTTTTCAGATACCAGCTAACACAGCTTCCCCTCTGATGCTTTTTTGAATACTTTCTGGTTTAATAATGGGATGATTATATTACTGGTTCTATAAATATTACAGGTTTGGAAGGGCTTTGCAGTTCTTTGCAAACCAGCCCCTGCCAAACCCTGCTTCCATTGATGTCTTCAGCCATACTCTCCATTTTGAGTGAGATCAAGTCCTTCAAATTGTTCTTTAAAATAATGCAGTCGTATCAGTGGAAAATGATACTTTAAAAAGTACTATTTGGTGGGTAATAATTACCAAGTACACTTTTCACCTGACATGGATTTATTTACAAGCCAAAAGAATGTTAGACACAAAAATTCATTCACTGGCCATTTTATTCCCTACTTTCCCAGACCTTGAGGAGTAAATTCAGGAAAGCATATAACACTCAAAACCCAGCAGTAATGTGACATGTTCTGTGTATGGTGATGGAGTCAAGGGGGAGGCCTACATTTCCATTAGCTAGTGTGGCGACTGTCTGTTGTAGTGCATGCCAGTGGGACATTTGGGTCCCCACACTTCTGCATGTTGAAGCCGAGGATTCTGTCCTTCAGCCCCATGGTCTTTTCCTATTTTCATACATACTTCCTGCATTCATAGGCTGTTTATGGGATCTGGACACGGGTTCTAAAGGTGTAGCCTGAAATCTGAGTAACTTGCATCACTGATTTTGCTGAACAGACTTTGTATTTTCTCAAAAGGGCTTCTCATGAACCATGGCTCCATCCTGCTTGAATGGAAATCAGATGAAACTAGCGTAGATGTGCACTGGGGTCCCTTTAGTGTCTCCGCATTCAGTGCTATTTTATTTGGCTGTTTTGCAAATTTATAATTAATCTTAACTTAATTCCAAATGTCTATTGTTTAAATCAGGTGTGAAACGTAGCAACAAGCTTTTTCCTTTATTAAGAATGCATGTATATTTACTTTGAGATGAGCCAAGATGTTGAAAATGAACAAAAGAAGACATCATCGTGTGTGCATAAGTGAGGGATGTCATGATTTAGGAAGCTAAATTTATGCGTACAAATGATCGAGATAGGCAAAAGGTCCCTGTTACCATAGAGCTGTCTTTATTGCTTTTCTAGCAGCTGTAATTTACTCAGCAACATATTTATTTATAGTCACCATTTTTTGGGAGGGGGGCATTTTCCCAAGTAGCTAAGAAAGTGAAAGGTTAGTTGAGGGTATTTACCCTATTGACATTAAATACAGGAGGGGGGGGGGGGATTATGAAAAATGCCCACCCTTCTACACTATACCTATTCTGTACCATACTTTTCTTTTTAGAATTCTCTTTCTGAATACACAGCTCTTACAAAAAGCTGTGAGTTACACGCATCCACTGAAAAGAGTCAGAGCCATTGGTCTTGATCAGAGTAATCACACAATTCACTCTAAGAGTTACTTTGGAGTTCTAGCCATAATGGTAATAAAATTTGGTGTTCTGTCTACTGGATAAAAGAAAGGGCCTGGCATTTTATGGCCAGGGTAGATTTCATAGCATTCTTTACAAAGACAAAATGTATTGACTCAAAAGTCTGCTTAAATTTCCCCTAAATTTCAACTCTGTTCTTCCCTTTCTAAAAGCATGGTGCTAGATTATGTTCCATGATTCATACAGGGATCACCATGATCTATGACTTCTCTTCAACAAGGGTGGGGGGGGATTGGTCAGCCATCTCTCTAGCACCATCCTTTCCTCCAAGCCTCTTGGAGGCGTTCCATAATGCTAGGAAGATGAGATTAAATATTGGTGGTGGGCTTGCAGCTGAAAAATATATTTCCCTCCATTTGAAATTGACTATAGCTTGGGTAGTTGGCTGGTTCATTTTCATTCATGTTATGTGTTCTTTTTCTGGGATCCCAGAATTCCTCACCCACCCTAAAGAATATCTACCTCTTAATCACATCCACATCAGTGGCCCTGTGAAGTAGCTTTCTGAGAATTGAATGTAGACTCTAAACCCTCTCTATTTTATTTGAGCTAGGTGAAGCATTCACATATGCCTTATCTTGGAAACAAAAGGTAGATAATGGGTCCTAATGTAGATGTGTGGATGGAATCTTACCTCAGAACTGCCAGGCTGGCCTTGATTGACAAAGAATGGAAAATGAAGATTCTTTTGTCCTGTACTGAACTTACCTATTGTATCTAAGTCAATTAGAATGAATTGGTAAAGCACAATTTAGCATCACTGTGAAATGCTAAATTTTATGATGGTATTTCCCACATCTGCTCATTCTATAATTCTGTCAGAGGTGATCAGCTTTGGCATTTCTTCTTTGTGAATTTGTGCCCTTTGGTCTTCCTGGTTCTGGTGATCTCCATAGGATCTGGAGTTGTACCAATATTTATTTAGAATATGTTTATATATTCATGTATTTATATAAATTTTAGTATCTCAGAAGTAGCTAGTCATGCATATTGTAGCATATGACTTGCATAATTACACTACTCTTCTCACTCTACCATATACCCATATCCCTTGTCTGTTGTATCCACTTATCATGTTGTCTTAGTTTACAAACTCTTTCAGGCAGGGACCATGTCTTCGTATGGGGCCTAGGACAATAAGGCTCTTGTCCTAACTGGTTTTACTATAATATAAACAGTTATAATAGGGTGCAATTGACTCTTAGGGTACCTCTAAACTGAATGCTTATTTCAAAATAAACTATTCCAGAATAGCTATTCTGAAATAGCTTATTCCAAAATAGCGTATCTACACTGCAGGGAAGCCTCAAAATTAATCCGAGGCAGGCTTCCCTAATGAAGACATGCGATCTCGATTTAGAGCCCCAAGAGGTACTGGAGAGAGAGAACTTAGAATGGCCCTGGTGAGGGGCTGTTTCGAAATAGCAGCAGTGAAGTATCTACGCACGCCTTATTTCGAAATCGCTATTTTGGAATAAGCCATATTCCTCGTAGAATGAGGTTTAAAGATTTCCAAATAAACCGTCCATTATTTCGAAATTATTTTGAGCTAAGGGAATGGCTGTGTAGATATTATTTCAAAACAACACTAGTTATCTCGAAATAACTGTGCAGTGTAGACACACACACACACACACACACACACACACAGAGTGGGGAGATAAGGGGGGGCAGAATATACCTTTCCAGCCTATGTACATTTTACAGGGGCTCAGCAATGCCCCTCCATCATAACTTGTCAGGTTTATAAACTGGAATAAGAGGCATTATCCCTTTGCACACCTACTCCCATTTTTTTGTCAACTTGATCTGAATAAGCATCAATCCAGCAACCGCCTACACTGGCCAGCCTCTTCTGTAGTGGTTTTATTTGAAGCTGGCATAGAACCACTTTCTTCTCTAAAGGTGTATTAGCCATGTATTTTAGATACCTTGCTGAATCAAAAGTCTGAACCCTGTATTTGTTCCTATATTACACTAAAAACTGAAGACAAATGGTAATTTCCAGGATGATGGACACTTCCTTTTTTGATGTTTTTACTTTTCTTTCTTTACATTCTGTGCCCAGTAAGAACTACTATAGCGCAATTGCCAGTAATTCAGTAAAATGCTTGACTTCCTTCAAGCATTCAGATGTTACTTTATTTTGATTTTTTTTTTTTAAACACAAAGGCATATGCTTATGTTGCAAAAACAAAATCAATAGGATCCCTGAAGTTCACCTAGGGCTACACCTAGACTGCGGGTTTTTGTCGGAAGAGGCTTTTCCAAAATTTGGCCTGCCTACACTAGGCCAAATTTCAGAAAAGCCTCCTCTTTCAGAAGAGCTTTTCTTCCTCATGAAACAAAGATAGGGCTTCTAAAAGAGCGCGTCTGCTCTTTCGCAAAAAATGTCAGAAGAGCAGGTGCATTCCCTGGACGCAGCAGAGTTTTTCCGGGATAGCCCTAATGACTGCATATACGGCCCCATGATAGGAATAACCTGGATGAGCCACTACACATGTTCAGTG